ACAGGAACTCCATAAGGAAAGCAATAGAACTGTGTCTTTCTGCTTTGGGGATACCTCACTCAGCATTATCTTATACCCATCAGTATGGCTAAGATCAAAAAGCCAAGTGACAATACATGCTGGAGAGGATGTGGAAAAAAAGGAGCCCTCCTACACTGCTGGTGGGAATGTAAATTATACATGCACTTTGGAAATCAGTCTGACACTTTCTCAAACAATTAGGAATAGAGACTCCTCAAGATCCACCTATTCCTCTCCTAGGCATATATCCAAAAGTTGTTCAAGCACACAACAAGGACATTTGCTCAAATATGATTTTAGCACTTTTTTTCATAATGGTCAGAATCTGGAAACAACCCAGATGTCCCTAAACTATGGAATGAATGCAGAAATTGTGGAACATTTACAGACTGGACTACTACTCAGCAATTAAGAACTAGGAAATCATAAAATTTGCAGGCAAGGAAAGAAAGAAAGAACATTAAATTTGAAAGGAAAAAAATGATAGCTATAAAATGAAACATAAAGAGAGACCCATTAGAATAAAGTTTGATTTCTCAGTGGAGATTCTACAAACGAGAGGGCCTGACTCATATTCTCCAAATGATGAGAGAATATTTGGCAGCCAAACTATCAAGCACACTAGTTGGAGAAACCAAATTTAAGCAGGATCTATCGACTAAGATTTCAGCTCTCCATATGGCACTAGAAGGAATATTTCAACTTAAAGATGTTTACCACATTCAATAAAAAGAATAAATATTTAATTTCTTGACCAAACTTTGGGCAGAATACAGGGAATCCTATGAAAGAAGGGGGAGTTAGTCGGATCTGGAGAGGACAGGAGCTCCACAAGGAGAGAACAGAACTAAAATTTCTGGGCACAAGAGTCTTCTCTGAGACTGATACTCAAACCAAGGACCGTTCATGTATAGAACCTAGAACCCCTGCTCCGATGTAACCCACGGCAGCTCAGTAACCCCATTAAGGTTAACAGGGACTGTCTTTGACATGAATTCAGTGGCAGGCTCTTTGACCACCGTTCTTTTGAGGTAGGAGCAGCCTTGCATTGCCACAGAGGCGGAAAATGCAGCCAGAACTGATGGGACCTGATAAGCTAAGGTCCGATGGAAGGGGAGAAGGACCATCCCATCAGTGGACTTGGAGAGGAAAATGGGAGGAGATGAGGGATGGAGGGTTGGATTGGGATGGAATGGGGGAGAGGGCTACAGCTGAGATACAAAGTGAATAAACTGTAATAAATAAAAAATAAAAATAGTAATCTCTGGCCAGCAAATGAAAAGATTGAGGGAAACATCTCATACAATAGCAACAAAATAGCAGAAATCAACAACAACTTCTCTTTGATAACGCTCAACCTCAATGATTCACTAACTAAAAACAAATCAGTTTCATGGGTTGGCATCAGACTGTTGGAACAATGGAAACGAATTAAAGTCCTGAAACAAATCCATACACTTATGGACACCTGATTTTTGATAAAGATGCCAAAACCATTTAAAGGAAAAAAGACAGCATCTTCAACAAATGGTGCTGGTCTAAATGGATGTCTACATGTAGAAAAAAGGCAAATAGATGCATACTTATCACTCTGAACAAAACTAAAGTACAAGTGGATCAAAGACCTCAATAGGAAATCAGACAGTAAACTTGTTAGAAGAAAAAGTGGGAAAGAGCCTTGAACTCATTGGCATAGGAGACAACTTCCTGAACTGAATACCATCAGCACAGGCTCTAAGACCAACAATCAATAAATGAGACCTCATGAAACTGAAAATCTTCTGTCAAGCAAAGGACACTGTCATCAGAACAAAACGACTGCCAGCAGATTTGGAAAGGATTTTCACCAACCTTCTACCTGACAGAGGACTCATATCCAACACATATAAAGAGTTTACGAAGTTAAACAGCAACAAATCAAGTAATCCAATTAAAAATGGAGTACAGAGCTAAACAGAGGATTCTCAATAGAGGAATATTGAATGGCAGAGGAACACTTAAAGAAATATTCAGCATCTTTACTCATAAGGGAAATGAAAATCAAATCAACCCTAAGATTTCAACTTAAACCCAACAGAATGGCTAAAGTAAAAAACTCAAGTGACAACACATGCTGGAGAGGTTGTGGAGAATGGGGAACCCTCCTCCACTGCTGGTTGTAATGTCAACATGTACAGTCTGGAAATCAATCTGGTGCTTCCTCAGACAACTAGGAACAGCAATTCCTCAAGATCCAGCTATAACACTCCTAGGCATATATACCAAAGAGGCTCAAATACACAATAAGGACATTAGCTCAACCATATTTGAAGCAGTTTTATTTATATTAGTGAGGAGCTGGAAACAGCCCAGATGGCACTCAATGGAGGAATGGATACAGAAATTATGGTACATCTACCCAATGGAATATTCCTCAGTAATAAAAAACAAGGAAATCATGAAATTTGCAAGTAAATGTTAGGATCTGGAATAGATCATCCTGAGTGAGCTATCCCAGGAGCAGAAAGCTGCACACGGTATATACTCATTCATATAGACATATAATACAGGATAAGCTTACTTAATTTTGTACACCTAAGGAAACTAATCAAGCCGCAAGACTCTTGCTAAAATGCTCAATCCCTATCCAGACGGGCAAGGAAGATGGACATGAAAAGAAGGAGAAAAGAGGGAACAAGTCAAGAGCCTGACACAAAGGACCTCTGAAAGTTTCTGCCATGCAGACTATCAATGCAGATGCTGAGACTTATGGCCAACCATTGTGCAGAGTGCAAGGAATCTTAGGAAAGAAATGGGAAACGGTAAGATCTGGAGAGGACAGGAACTAAACAAGGAGAGCAAGAGAACCAAAAAAAAATTGAGCACAGGGGTCTTTCCTGAGACTGATACTCCAACCAAGGACCATGCATGGAGATAGACCACTGCACAGATGTAGCCCACGGCAGTTCAGTGTTCCATAGTAATAGAAACAGAGACTGTCTCTGACATGAACAGTTTAGCCTGCTCTTTAATTAACCCCTGCCTCCCCCCCATGGGGGAAGCAGCATTACCAGGCAACAGATGAAGACAATGGAGCCACTCATGATGTGGCCAAACTGACTAAGATCAGAAGGAAAAAAAAATAAGACCTCCCCTATCAGTGGTCTTGGGGAGGGGCATGTGTGTAGATGGGGGAGGAATTGAGAAATTGGGATGGGAGGATTTAGGCAACCACAGGGGGATACAAAGTCAATAAAGTGTAATTAATAAAGAATCAAAAAAAAGCAGGATCCTTCATTCTGAGATATCTAAGAACAAGACCTGAAAGTAAAAATTAAACATTACCTCGGGATAAATGAAAGAAAAAAGTATATTCAAAGCAAATGGAAACAAAAACCAAGCAGGTGTAACAGTTTTAATATCTGACAAAAAACAAAACAAAACAAAAAATACTAAAACTAATCAGAAGAGACAGAGGACACTACATAGTCATCAAATTGGAAAAAAAATCTGCCAAGAAGATATCGCTGTTTTAAGCATTTATTTACCAAGCACAAAGGTACCTGACTTCATAAAAGAAATACTATTACAGATAAAAAAGTATATTGACCTCCACAGAGTGGTACTGGGAGGCTTCAATACCTCACTCTTAGTAATTGACAGGCCATCCAGACAAAAACTAAACCGAGAAATGCTGTAGCTAAAAGACTTCACATGTACATAAGCTTAGCAGACTGTTAGAGAAGATTTCACCCAAACACAGAGTATACTTTCTTTTCAATAGCTCATAGAATTTCTTCCAAAATTGACCAAAATCTTGAAAATAAAGCAAGTCTCAACAGTAAGAAAACAATTTAAATCACACCTTATACCCTACATGACTACCACAGATTAAAGCTACAGAAAAATAAACACAGAAAAATAAAGAATTTAAAAACACGTTAAAATTGAGCAACTCACTACTGAAGGAAAATTGATACAAGATAGAAATTAAGAAGGAAATTAAAAACTAAAACCTGGAGGGACAAGATGCCGTCTCTAGGAGAACGCTGCTTCTGAGGAGCAGGACAACATTTTCCATACAGCAACCATGAGAATGAACTCTGAGCACTAAAAAAAAAAAAACAGTTATTGTATTTCCCAGTGTTTCCCTGGAAAAGGTCTTCCAGAATGGCAGATGTGAGCAGCCATCACTGAACTGGGCTCCAGCTTCAAGCACAGAGACTTGCTGTATGCCCAGCTCTCTGGCACAGACAGAGCTGTGTGCCCCAGGGCAACAGAGACTGGATGTCCTTGTCAGGAGTAAACCCCACAGGGAAGGAAGGAAATGGGAACCTGAATTAGGTCATTCCAGTATATCCCTGGAAAAGGTCACAAAGACAGGTGGGCAAGCGTGCCACCAGCCCAGAGACCTGCTCTGTACCAACTATTTGGTGCAAATAGAACTGTGTGCCCCAGGACACCAGATACTTGGAGTCCCTGTTGGGGGAAATCCCCATAGGAAACAAAGGAAAGGGGACGGACTTAGGCCACCCAGTATATCCCTGGAAAAGGTACTGCAACCAGCCCAACCTAGGGACCTGTTGTGCACTAGCTAGTCTGCTGCTACCAGGAAAGTGGTAATCACCTGCCAACAGAGCCCCAACCTCAGGCCTCTAGAACCCTGGGATTCCCGAGATCATCCCCCATATACTGCTCCAATGTAAAGAGCCTGAAGCAAATGCCATTACAAGATGGCGCCGGCATCCAGTGTGTGAGATCGTAAACAACTGCCTATGCGCATGCGCTAAAGCTGAATTCGAGCCAAAGATTGGCTCACTTAGTGATGTAGTGATTAATTAAGATGGCCTGATGGGCTGCATCCAATCAGGAACCAACATGTCACCATTTAGGGTATAAAAGGAGTGCCATTTTGGGGCTCTAGGTCTTCCTCTCATTGCTGCTGAATAAATGCTTGCTGCAGAAGAATCCTGGTGTCCTTGTGCATTCTTGCTGGCGAGATGACCACGCGGGCTACAACTGGTGCCGAAACCCGGAATGCCGGGCTACCGACCATCGTCGGCACTGAGGAGACCCCCCCACTGCAGGGAGGATTCAGAACTGCAGTCTCAGGTAAGCTCTGAGAGACATGTTCCTTGAGCCCCTCGTGGCTATAGGAGTGGTTCTCTTGGCTTTTCTTTTGTTTTGTGTGGGCGGATATTGCTCTTGCTTGCAAGATTCAAATTGCCGCCACGCTATATTAGAGGGAGAAGCCGTTTTAGGGGAACTACAGGATAGCATGTCAGAAACAGAGCGAAGTGAACGTCTTGGGGCCCGAAAGAAAAGACGTAAGGATAAGCAGTTAAACCCCTCCAAGGAGGAGAAAGATAAGGGAAAGGACGCCCTGGGAGAGAAAGATAAGGAGGAATTTTCAGCTAAAACTAGTAAAAAGAAGCCTTTGTATTCACTAAAGGAACTAGAGGCTTTGGGACTTTCCAGTTCCGATTCAGAGGGACTTTCCCCTTCTGAGGAGGAGGATCTAGAAGAGGAAGCAGCTCGCTAAGAGAGAGAGAGGTACCACCCAGACGAGCGGCCGCCCTGGAAAAATCAAAAGCAAATAAAAGGAGGAAGTCGGGGTGCTGTCTCTTCTAGGCCCACTGCTTCTGCCACTCCCTCTGCTCCCCCGCCTTATTCCCCCCAGGTGGAGGCTCTAAGACATTTATGTCCTCCCAGGCTCGAAGGCAAATTTCTCTCGAGTACCCTGTATGGGAAAATGTTGAAGGAGGATGCACTCATGTAGCCGTAGATTACCCTCAGATCAAAGAGCTCGCAGAATCTGTCAATAAATATGGTATAGATGCTAATTTTACCATTATGCAGCTAGAGAGACTTGCCACCGTGGCTATGACTCCTAATTATTGGGAGACCACTATTAAAGCTGCCTTACCTAACATGGGTCAGTATATGGAATGGCAGGCACTATGGTATGACGCCTGTCGAGCTCAAGCTCGGACTAATGCCTTGGAAGTGGGTCCCCAGAGAGAATGGACCTTTGATCTCTTAACAGGACAAGGTCAATATGACAACAATCAGACCAACTATGAATGGGGAGCTTATGGGCAGGTTTCAACCGCTGCTATTAGAGCTTGGAAAGCACTTTCAAAAAAGGGGGAACCCACAGGTCATTTAACAAAAATAATTCAAGGTCCTCAGGAGCCTTTTGCTGATTTCGTGGCCCGAATGACGGAATCAGCAGGCAGGATCTTTGGTGATCCGGAACAAGTTAAGCCAATGATAGAACAATTAATCTATGAAAATGCTTCCCCCGAATGTAAAGCAGCTATCCTCCCAAGGAAAAATAAGGGATTAACAGACTGGATAAAAATCTGCCGAGGACTGGGAGGACCTCTTACAAATGCTGGTTTAGCGGCAGCTATTTTACAAAGCAGAAGCCAAGGTCAATCAAAGAATTCTAGGGTTTGTTTCAACTGTGGAAAACCTGGACATCTCAAACGAGAATGTCAGACTAAACAGCAGAAAAAGATCCCTGGTCTCTGTCCAAAGTGTAAAAAAGGACGCCATTGGTCCAATGAGTGTAGGTCGGTTAAGGATATTCAAGGAAAAATTATTTA